TTTTTAAATAATTATTTCAATGAGAAATTTTTAATCATCACCCAGGAGGTACTATAATTGACGCGTTTTTTTAAGTGGTTTCCCCAGTACACTGGGGAAACGCGTCAATTATAGTACCTCCTGGGTGACGTGGAAATCTATTACTAAAACTATTCTCGTCAATATAATTAATATTCGAAAATTAAAAATTTCTCATTGAAATAATTATTTAAAAAGATGTTAAACATATCACGTTTTAGAAACTGACATTTGGCAGTCAAGGGACACGCAACGGAGTCGGATTACCGATACGTCGTACCTGAAGCTGAGCGTCGCACGCTTGGTTACGGTTGTTTAATGACTGGAGTAGGGGGTGATAGGCGGTACTCGCGAAAATCGGCCGAAATGAGCAGTTCGTGGACAGCTCTGCCTTAAGTGAACTTCGTGCGAACGTATCTGATAGGCACGCGCCGGCGTTGCCTCGGAGAGAAACGCCGCGAAAAATATTCAGCGTTCACGAAATAAGGAGGAACGCGACGAAGATGTCTGACATTCACAGATTGCATTGTATTCCAGTTGGAATCTAATCCATTTGCCTCGATACTTGTGCATTTCTTCGCGCTTCTCTCTCTCTCTCTCTCTCTCTCTCTCTCTCTCTCTCTCTCTCTCTCTCTCTCTCTCTCTCTCTCTGTCTGTCCTTCTTCTTCTTCTTCTCGAACAGGACGCATACTTGTTTCATTTTAGTTAAAGGTATAAATAGCCCGCGTATGACGCGAGGAAATTTAATAAGTCGCGAGCTCTCGGCTGTTTTTGAAAAGGAAACATCTGCGATATAACGCGAGGATTAATCCGGGTTTAATTAAAGTCTAATAATACCCGGCGGTCATATTTATTTAAAAAAAAAACACCTCGCGGTATATCTGTCTGTGAACCCAGGCGGCCCGCATTCAGATTCGTGAGCGTGCGAATGGGGAGGGAAAAAGAAGATCCACCCCTCAGCCATGATTACCGCTATCTTCCTTGACGTTTAATAATTCCGGCGCCACGACCTTCAGAGTCGCGTTCACGTTCTCGTTGCAATTACTGCAGACAATTGTTTGCCCACGTACCGAAAGGTCCCTCGCCAGAAGCTTGACGTTCTGCAAAGACGATCGATTTTATGTTAATTACCGCGCGGTGCGAGTTCGCCGTGCGGATGAGGTCTGGCTTCCGCGCGCGTGGAATATAAGATATTTTCAAAATTAGAGCCGGAATATAAGGTATCTTCAAAATTAAAATCGACGAGGACGAAGCGCGAAAAACCGGACGCGTATCGTTCTCGAAGGCCCCTTTGCTTCTCCGCGAGGTTTCCGCCGGGAAATTTTGTTTGCAACATTCACGCAATGCGCACACACAACGCGCTAAGAACTTAGAGAACGATGACAATAGCGCGTTAGCATGTGCGACGCGCTGTTTGCTGAATAAACCTCGCCGCGCTGTATCGAATCGTCCACGTATGCTCATCCAGCTGCCTGTTTGCACAAACGATTGGACGAACAAATAGATTTTTCGCTGATAAAATTGTCAGTTTTCTTATCGACACGTTTAATAGCGACCGTATATAAAATCTGTAAACCTTGTCATCGTCTTGAGATGACTTGACTTTCTGATTGCGGCAAACGTGTACGTGACATTATTTTACAATTTTCGCACAGGAATTATGTTTGTTAAAACTTGTCACGCGCAGATGTTTTAATTTATTTTTAATCGATCGACATTGTTGTTGCTTTATTATAAATTCTCATAAACTGCCCCCGTACATCTGCACGCGACTCTTTGTCCCTTTAGCGTAACAATTTGATTTTTCAGTCCCATTTTGTTTAAATATACTTATTGGAAATAGAAATCTCCGAAAATTGATTTTACTTGTTAAAAAACTCGATACAGGCAGCTATCGTATAGTTAATTGACGGCAAAATTAACTTGTCGTTTTAATAGACCTACACGGGAAAGAAGATGTTGAATTAAGCGAAGTGAAGTTGCACGAATTAAACGTTAACGTCACGGGCTGCAACAAACACAAACGTTTCACTCAATTGTATTCGCTGTGGATTTTAATTTTAGGCACTTAACTAAATATCCAGATTATTAAGACAACAATCTGACGTTTTTCATTTATTAATACTGACGTTGTTTCAACGACTCTATTTCAATTACTCTGGTCTTGTTGACACAACATCTTTTTTTTCCGTGTTGCAATGTGTATCGTTGCTAATGCATCGTTCCCTATGATTCTAATCGAATCGTTTATTTAATGATCCGAGGGGGAAACCGCTGAGGGCATTGTGGTGCACAAGAATTTGCGGCATTACTGGGCATTACTAGGGCATTTTTTGGGGCATTATAAAGATAAAATAAGACAAAATAATCAATTTGAAACGTAAAAGCCACTTGGGACCTGGCACGGGTGGAGGTGGCCAATTAAATTACTAAGTGAATCCAGATCAAATAAGATAAAATAGGATAGAATAAGATAAAAGAAGGTAAATAAGACAAAATAAGATAATAAGATAAAGTAATGGGACATTAGTGGGCATTGGTGTACGAGATTTTGGCCAGCGGTTTCCCCCTCGTATAAATGATCTTAATACGTAGCGGATTAATTTTAATTGTTATTCCAATCGATAAGGAAATCGACACCGTTCGGTTATCGTCATTATCTCCGTGCTCGCGTTCTTTCTTCGAATCCGCCCGAAGAAGCGTCTTATTTCATTGGCATCTTTCGCTTGATTGCTTACCTTGGCGACCGTAACATCGAGCCTCTTCAGGTTCTTACAGTCGAGTATCACGTTGCATTCGCTCTCTCCGGAAAGCTTCATTATGTTAGCACGCAGACGCTCCGCCGCGGGAAAGGCTACTGCTTCCTCGGGCACGATGACTATCACAGTTTCCCCTTCGATCTGCATCCGAGACAAAGAAAAACAAGATACGGTATCGTACACGCTCATACTCGCGGCTAGTCGCTGTTTAGTGGGAAAATATTCCGGACCGTTGAGAAAACACGTACGTCCAGCGGCGATATTTTTTAAACTGGCCCTTTGCCAGTTTAAAAAGATCCGCTGTTTAAGTACACGCGAATCTGTTTCGTGACCGGGAATTCAATAAAGCTGCATGCCAAGTAGTTTACACGGTAAAATACAGCGCTGAAGGTATTTGAAGGTGGAATTTTTTTAAACATTTTTACAAGAAGGAAAGGTCAAAAAGGGACCAAGTATCGAGGGACGTATCAATTTCACCGGTTCGCTTAGTTACGGTAGATTAATCTGACGAGGGATGATGGGTCTCGGCTACGTTTAAACGATCCCAGCATGATTAAATTGGATCAAGCTGCAAATACAGCGTCAGCTTGATTTTTAAACGACAGCGTCATTTTGCGTTGCAATAATATCTGTTGAATACGTATTCTTCTCTCTCGTATCGATCGTGTCAAGAGAACGACGACCGTTATTTAATTCTGGACGTTAAAATTATTGCGAACCGAGTACAAATACCACCCTCTGAATACATTAGAACGTAGAAGATATTTGGCTACGGAATTATTCAATATTTACAGAGTTACATTTTTCATATTAATAAAGTGAGATTTTTATTCAATTGTTTTTTTGCTTGGCAAGTAACGACGGTAATCGCAATGGTAAATTAGCGACGTGAAATTCTTTGATAAGGATCTATACGGTAATCTGTTATCACTGTACCTGTTCAATTTTCGTCCGAACGGAAGGCCGCGCTGAGAAATACAGCAACGCTACTAGGTTAACAACGATGCCAATCAAGATACCGTACTCCAACCCAAGAAAAACACACGGGACCAATGTCAGCATCATTACACCGAAATCGATCTCTAAAACAATATTTACAGACACTCCCATATTAGTATATGTTTTCAAAACAAGATTAAACCACCTTCGTATCGATGTATTTACCAATTAATTATTTTTATTCTTTTTTTTTGTATAAAAACGTCTTTCTCGAGGACCATCAGTCCGGCGGCAATAAAATTGCAATTTTAATTAACGATAAGACTCGTTTAGAACATTCTAATTTAATGCGCGAAATTATCTACACGTCTACTCACGCGAAATGGCTCGCCCGCAACCGATATCGCCGGGTCCGCCGCGAAGCTGCGGATGAGCTCGAGATGAAGCCCGTGACAAAAGTTAACGGAAACGGGTGGCGCTACTCCGTCTTAACAACAAATGCCACCAAGGGCGCGCTCGAGCATTATTGTTTCGCGCGGGCTTTTCGAGAACAAATGCGCCCCACGAATGCATCCCGAGTGTGGGTGGTGCTCTCGCTGACGCAAGCTCGCTTTTGTGCGGCGTGCACCATTGACGCCACGCTGGTTAGATCGCGCACAGGTGAATCGGACAGGGGAAAGAGAGAGGGAGAGAAAGCAAGTAGAAAGGAGGATAGATATGCGGAACTTACTTCTGGCGCGCCACAGCATGGCGTACGTTGAGAAATCGAGCATGTAGTACATGGCGCATATGATGAGACCGGCTAGCGTTGCTTTCGGTATGAAGCGAAAAGTAGAGGTCAAGAGACCAACCGCGAGCAATACCAAACCACCTGAAAGAGTCGTCGTAATGAAGCAATGCTCCGAGGAACAAAAAGAGATATCCTCGCTATAAAATTAAGAGATTTCCGAGGGAGAAACCGTCGAGCAAAATGTACACCAATGCCCACTAATGCCCAGTGGCCGTTACTTTATTTTATTATCTTATTTTATCTTTATAATGCCCCAGCAAGGCCTAATACTCAAAAAATGCCCCCAAAAATGCCTAGTAATGCCGCAAATCTGTACACCACAATGCCCTCAGCGGTTTCCCCCTCGGATATTTCTCTGCTCCAATCTTCGGGAAGGCTATTCGATTTTTGATTTAGTTGTGACTTTACGATAAAATCATGCATTTCATATTTTAAACAGAAAGTGTTAATTTTGTATCAAAAACTTGAATTAAATATTCTGTAGCAACTCTCAAGTACGTTGTGAGATACGTTTGCATAATCGAGTCGATTAGGATTCAAATTAGTGTACACCGAAGACGAAAGTGATAAAATTTGTGTTCGCCATTTACCTGTAAATATTCCCCCCAGTGTGGTTTTAACGCCTGACGCATGATTGACGGCCGTTCGTGTGAAAGATCCTGTAACTGGCATCGAGCGAACGAACGATCCGAAAACATTGCAGAATCCTAGAGCGATCATTTCCTGCGTGGCGTCCAAAGATTTGCCCTTTGCTAAAATAATTATTCAATTATCCTCCTCGAGTCAAGTACAGACTCGACTTTAACGATTCTCGGAAATAACAATGCGTAAAGTGGGATCCCGATCGAGCAAACGAGTGGAGAAAAACATAAATGATCCACTTAATTGGCTCAATTTTGCGCTTCGTATTCGTTGACGCTCATTTGTTAGGCCTGGATTCTACTTCGTGTAAGTAAAAAAGGACAATGCTCTTACATCGGTAAAAGTTAATGGTAAAATCGTGCGTTTTTAAGTCAAAGCGTGAAAAGTGTCGTACGAAAAAGTCTCTCTCGCTATAAAACCCTTACTCCCCGAAATCGTGTGAAAGCAATAGCGGTAATTGAATGATAAAAACTTAATTACCAAACGCTTTCGCGATGGCTATGTGCTCGATAGTTGATACGACCGGTATCGTGAAGAGCGTCGTTCCCATTGCGGTAGTCATTTCCACAAAGTTGTACGTTTGATTCTGAAAGGTCGTCGAAAACGGCGGAGGTGCGAACGGTGGCAAACCCTGCCCCATTGTGCCTGCAACGCTTTGTCTGTTATTCGCGTTTTAATCCGCTATATCAGCGCGTGAAAGATATATTTTCTCGTGATATCTGCCCATATGAAGCCAAGTCTTTTTTTTAACAGTACAATCTCGAAACGGGAACAAACCACATTTCGCGATTTGAGCGATGAAAACAAACTTATTCTTTATCGTAAGCGTCGTATAACATTGAGCTTTGCTCCCAGAAAGGAACGTTATAACTGATAAATGTTGATAATAATTTGAAAGATTGTAAATTAATCTTAAACAGTTTTAACCGCACTGAACATACGTTTAACAAATCGATTTTCGATACGAAAGGAGGTTCATCGATATCGAAGGTTTCAAAATTCGATGATTAATTAACGGCAACAAAATTTATTATCGCGAATTTATTCCGCAACGCGCATCGATAACACAATAAATCTTCTAAACTCAATTCCATAAGTGTGGAATTTGTAGAGAAACGTCAAATGAAAGATAATTGATTAAAATTATCTGGTGACTAATTACCGCGTTCAATTGCCTTCAAAGCCTATTTTAGATCAATAAATTAATCACAATTTAGAAAACGCCAATATTAAACAAACGATTTATCTACTTACCCGTTAACTTGAAAGGCTCTAGACCTTTAGTGTAAAAAATATACGCCATGACAGTGCCTGCGATTACGACTAACGCATTGCGGGACAAACCAATAAGCCATCCTATTTTATGCAAGATTGTTCCCGTACGCCGTCCTGGTGTACTCTATAGTTAAAAAAAAATACAAATAATATCCCCTTCCGGCATACGAAATTATTGCCTTCTTGCGAGAGATGCGAAATCTGACTGGAGCGAGAATTAGTTTTCGTTTTCGAAGAACCTGTGCCTTTGCTTGTGGATTTTGTACCTTGAGCAAAACCAACACGATGATTGTAACAATTCCCAACAGTGTATCTTGATATCGGATCTGATTAAGATTCTTAAAGATTTCTATCACAGAATCCAGAAAACTCTCGGTTCTACCAGGAATGCCCAAGAGTGACTTAAATTGGGAAGACGCTATGTTGATCGCCGCAGCCGATGTAAAGCCAGTAATTACAGGAAGCGATATGAAGTCCAATAAAAAGCCTTGGGGGGGGAAAAAACAAAAAGGATACATTTATGCAGCAGCGATTATGAATTACTTTTTAAATTGTTACGCATACGTATATTTTACTTTGGAATGTATTAAAAAGACATACCTAAATTTAAAATTCCTAAAAGCGCAATGATGCATCCTTTCAAAAAAGCGATTAGTACAGCCATGTCAGCGCCATATTTTACGACCAACGGTTGAACCATGGTAGCCATAATGGCTGTTGGACCGATAGTGATGTTTTCGCATGAACCAAAAATGATATATATAAACGATGCCATGAATGCTGAGTACAGTCCATACTGTAACAAAGTACTGCTGTTGAAAACGGACGTCATTAATGAAAAATCATGCATGTCTCGATAATTATGCAGTTAAACGGCATTAGTATTGCAACGGCAATAGATACCGAAAGCAATGTACTTGAAGGAAATGTTCTCATTTTGTGCATCGGTACACAGGCATTAAAAAGAATTTTAATATCACTTGAAAGATAACGCTCTTTTAAATGATACATTTGATTTAAATGTAAGGAAGTGTTATTGAGTTGTGCCGAGAAAGCAAAACTTATTTCTTGCCGCGCGTCGATTTATTTTCACAATCAGAGTATCTCTTAAAAATTTATAACCGAGGAACGTTTATTTTATGTGTTATGGGATGATACGATACAAGATTTATACGGCGGCCCGCTCTCTTTTTCGTGATCTTTACCTCAGGATTTAAACCGGCGACAGTACCGTAAGCGATGCCCTGCGGCACGGCGGTGAGACCGACCGTGATGCCAGCCAATGCATCCTGCAAGAGCCACGTGGGCCTGTATCGCGGCAGCCAGTCGAGAACCGGCAATCTTCGCACAACATACTTGCCGCATTTATCTTTCCCGTACCATTTGGCCACTGCAAGCAGATTCAGCCTTATTTTTTCGCGATGCAAGCGACTTTATCGCGGCTACTCACAACGTCGAATAAGATAAGGTGCGATCAGATGTCTTTCTCTCTTTTTTTTTAACATTTCTTCGCGGACATTTTTTATTTCTTTGGATTTTTAAAAAATTAGTCTATCAAAGAAATACATTAATCTTTCATGAATTTATTAAGCAAGTTTTATTAAAAATATTATGTGTAATTATTTCTTTTAGTCTACTAAAGTCTTCTTTTCTTAATCTCATTTGAGTTTATTTGTATTTAGTTGTACGATTCGAATTCACTGCATTATTCTGATTATACAATTTTGTATAAATTTAAAATCGCACGAACAAATTCTAAATTGCGTGCATCATATTTTACATTTCCGAACTCTACGCTCTAGTTTTTCTAAAGATTAAATTGTTGACCGATGAAGTTTTGCGGACTGTTAAATTTCAAAATAGTGCACGGGAAAAAGAAGAAGTCGTTGATATATATCTAACGCGAGTAACCGTCGAATGACTAAAAATAACACACAGAGAAAAAGTGTTATCTGAGCGCCTTATTCAGCGGTGTAATCTCGTTTAGCATTCCGTGGATTCAATTTTCGCTCGGGTCATTTACTTATAACATATCACTTACTCATCCACTTAGTTCTCCAATTGAGATCTTGATACAACGAAATAGCGAGGGCAATGGGTCCCGCGAGACTCGCTGGCGAAATACTTTCCAAATCTACACGTAGCGATGTAATCCACTTTTGACGAGAGAAAAAAGCAGGCGGGAGAGGAAAAGGGAAAATAATCCGCTCTGTTTGCGATCTCGCTCGACACAACCTGAATTCCTCTGCTCACTCACTTCTGCACCGTAAATCGCCCCGTTTTGGTTCACTAATCTGTCCACCTCTAATTGTGCAGAAAAATTACACGTGTCGCGATAATTTCGCACAGTTTATTTTGAAAACGAATGATAAAGAAATTTCCTTTAAACACTTTCGTGTCAACAGCAATTAATTCTTGCGCGATCAGCGGTATTGTGTGCTAAACGAAGCGTGTTCGTTAAAATTTATTACAAAATGGATAAAATAATTTCTAAACTAACCAAAATCACCAATTCAACTCGCTACAACGTTATAATTATAATGAACACTTACATATTGATCCATTGTAGTAAGAAATAAAGAAATTATGCGACATATGAATTAAGAAGATTGACGAAAAGTAATTAAAATTAAAAGATGTTAAAAAGATTTAGTTACTTCGATGTAATACACGTCTATGGAACTTTTAATACAATCAATCGATTTTTTTCAATTCAGTTGAACAAATAAAAAGAACTTGGATGATCGTCGATGTTTTAGTTCGATTACTTCACCATTTCAAATTGAGTTACAAGATTTAATGTTTTTATATCTCACGTACCATAAAGTATATAAAACTCCGAGAGAGACGATTAATGAAAAATATTCCTTCTCACTGTATTATATAAACTGAGATTTAGAAACAGAAGCACGCACTGATTCAATGGGGCAACCGGCAGCGTCGGCTAAACCGGTTCTCCATTCTACACAGAGCACACACAGCGCACACTCGGTACTGAATGTGCGATTCCATTGACAGATGTTTCATGCCGACTCACAGCGCTCGGCCGGTATTATGTAAACGCGGCTCGTATGACTATCATCGGACATCGTCTCTTATTAGAGATAAAAATTAACAATGAGCTATTTTTAACTCATTGTCAAATATAATTAATCGCGGCAGGCGATGCGAATGCACAGAAAGTCACTGGGGTTTATCGCCTCCTAAAGTCACAAGGAGCCGCAAAAGTGCTGCATAGAGACGTCCAAGTCGGAGCCCGGTTTTCAGTTCATGAAATTAGGAGAAAGATTATACGTTAGATGCCGATTCGGGCTGTGACATCCGAAATAAGAATAGATTATAAATCAGGTCGTGGAAATCCCGTTGAGTTACACTTTCTCACTTTCTCAATGAAATCTCTCACTCGCGAATCGCGCGATCTAATAACCCGACCGAGTCGTTCCTGCGAAAAGGAAGGCCTCTCGATTGCCGCACAATTGACATGACCGATACGAGGCCGGTTCGTGAGCGGAAATGCCCGTTCGGAATTGCAGTGCCACGTTGAAATAGATAACAGCCGTTTATGGAAACTTGCGATATCGCGGACTCTTCGAGAACGACGGCTCTGTTTCTCCTTCCGTCTTCAGCTGCGGACGGGAGCGCATTGCTGCTCAGAGAGGGGAGATACCCGTTATATTAAGCGAAACTCACGCAAGACTTTGTCACGCGCAACGAGATTGCTGAATTTTGATTATACATTATGCAATAGCCACGATAGGGAGCACATTTAATATAATATATTTGCGAACCTACGATACTGTGCCACTGTAATAATCGTTATCTACGATATCTCGCGATATTTTTAAATTTTATTTGACCAACTCCGAGATAACCGAGAGCAGTGCAAAGCGATTAGCGCAATTAGAAACACACTGCGATTTGTTATCGAAACTCTTTCTCCCTCTTTGGCACAAAGATAAAAGAAATTACATGCAAATTTGGAGAGATTACGCCTCCCGAAGTTTCTCCGTTCTTGACAGCGAAGACACTGTAAGTTTTCTCGCGTGTAAAAGTCAGGCGTAAATATCGCGCCGATATCGCATCCGTTTTTATCTCCGTTTCGAACTTCCGCTCGCATCTCTCCCGCCTTCTTCTTATTACTCCGCTACGATCCTCCGCTTATTTGCGCGAAACAAAACACGGCGTTCCGCGCCGCGCTGCCGGCGCGGCGGAGAAATTCCGCCCGCGCGGATTCCATAAATCGCGGCCGAATGCCCGCGATTCTGGCGCGCCTTTTTCCTACGGGAAAACGCCGCGGCGATAAATCACGACGGCGCTTACCACCTCGATCGCGTCGTTTTCGCGCGGGGCTCCATAGAAAACGCGCGTGGCGCGAGAGCCCTCGATTTCTTTCTCGGTGTCCTCTCCTCCAGCAGCGGGATGACGCGTCGCGACGCCACCGGGGACCGAAGGAGGAGCGACGACGCGGGGCTGCGACGACGAGGGTGCAACGCCTGCGCGACGTCGTTGGCGCGCGTCCACGGGGTGTCGACGATGAATGGGCTACCGGCGCTCCTCAGTGCCGCGCGAAACAGCGAAACTCATCGTCGCGACGCTATTCCGCACGCAAATCAAATGTATCAAACGTGCCACCGCATCGAGAGAAACGCGTTGTGAACCTTTCGGAGAAAACCGCGATCTCCCCGTTCGTTATACAGTCACATTGATATTTCGGTCGATGCGCGCAAACGTTCCATCGCGCCGTAATATATACAGCTTGACGCACAAAGGTATATGTCGCAGTCGTTATTTATCAGTTTGTATGTTTTTTTATCGCGTCTGCATTTAATCCGCTTGTATTTGAGTTATGAATTTTTATTTTTATTTTACCACCTATCTCTGAGGCGATTAAAACTTTAATCGGTTTAATATATCGCGAAAATGCAAATTGCGTCTGTCGTTTGTCATATGATCGCGCTAAATTGTTTATTTGTCGACACTATTTTGTGTCTAAACTGACGAAACCGTGGCATTACAAATACTACAAGAATTTCGTTTGAGACAAAGCTGATTTGTCAATTATTCAATCATAATTTTGGTTCGATATTTAATAGATGATTCGTTAACGCTCTTGAAAATGTTCGTTTATCTCCTTACTTTTTGAGATTTATTGTAATCTCATATCACAATTACATTGTCGCTTTCACGTGCGCAAAAAATCTATGTACAAATTTATTGCATTTATCAATTAGATACGTGTTTTATGTTCGCGTATTAATCGATAACTGCAACGCTTATCTCGTCACGTCTTTTAATTGATACGTGAGAAATTTAATAATCATGCAATCATTAATTCACATTGAAGTAACCCTTGACAAGATTGGAAAAAAACCATGTTTTAATTTCTAACTTATCTAATCTAGTATATTTTTATGGATGCGCAAACGATACGATCATTTTCCACCTTTGCTAGAAATATGAAACGGAGATTTGCAAACATTACGGTATTTTAATTTTTTGGTCCGCTATTATTGCTATTATATCCGATATTTATTTATTCGACATTTAAAAGTCACTATTTTATGACCGTTTTATTAAAATAGCGAACCTTTTGTCACAAAAATTAACGTGGGAGTTTCGACAAATTAATATGCAATAAAATTTAACAATTCAGGAGTAAAAAAAAACTTCAGGCGAGAAATAGAAATAATTAACTGGAACATTAATAACGTTCGTCGATCACGCGGACGTCCGACGTAACAGAATGGCAGAAAGTGACAAAGGAAGAGCGTCTCAGCATTTTCAAGAAATTCGCGTCGCAGAAATGTTACGTCAGGTGCCAACATCATTGAATTTATAAATTACCCGCATAAATTTGATGGGGGACATTACTTGAGATCCGTATTGTGCGACGAAAAAGAGTTCTCCGCTACGAATTTGCGGTGACTGCAAGGCCAGCAGCCGCATCGGATGCAAAGTGCGCGAAAGAGTCGCCTGAGGAATGCTTACGCTCAAGAAAATAATCACGTTCGAAGGACAATGTGCGGAACGTAATAATGGACACACGACGTAATTTTGTATTACGTCGTTAATCGTTGCTGCGTGATTCATCATCCGGCAGAAAAGCTGTGCGAGTCGAGACGTCTCTCTCGCGATTACGAGGTGACGAAAGAGAGGAAGGGGATCGGTGAATTAATGCAAAATTTTCGTGACAGCGACATAATAACTAGTCTGTGCCCGACAACAAATACGATAACGACGTCGGTCTACCGGCGTGTGATTGCGGGGAAATAAATTTGCACGTGGCGGACAATTAAGTCGGCTAGTCGTTACCGCAGTGCGCGTTAACGCGATGTGCGCCCGTGTTCTATGCATTCGACGGGTGGTCTCGACGCGCTAATAAGACAGTTGAAGAGAAACGAGGAGATTTTAATCTTGGCGAGTGGTGCGCCCGCCTCATTTCACCCGCAGTGCTATTTGTCGGCGGAAGAAATTCATTAAGGCGACTTAGTCCATCATTATTCCGCACGTCGCCGCGGCCGAAGCGCATCGGTGACGGATTAGCGGGGGACGGTGGTGCAAAACGTGCAAAACGAAGGTGGCAAGCTATCGTGTCGCGCCGCGTCTCCCGTTTGTACCCGCGATCTCGAAATTCCTCGTCATGAGCATCCTAATGTACATTGTCCGAAGCGAGTATGAGGGATCGCCGGGGGAGACCGCGAGGCAAAACGCCGTAATGGCACGTACGCAAATCGATTTTGTCGGCCAGGATGCAACGAGGTGAGCCGGATTTCTCAACAACTCGTAATTGGAATTAATATTGTCCGATTAGCTGTTTACTTGATTTATTTTACGCATTTACGTGTCATATTATTGGGTTATTATTGTGGCCGTGCCTCTCCTTCCTCCGTATTTAGTACGATACTCCTAAATTTACACGTCTGTCGTACTGTATTGCATTTACATTCGCAATTAATTAGTATTGATTTATATTTTTATCAGGTAAACTATAATTGCGTTAAAAAACCGGGCTTTGCTTTGCAGAAGAATAATGAAATGAGACTTGTGGTCTTTTATAATCCGAGAAATATGCTCTTAGAAAGTAATATGCTATGTATTCGGTTTGTATTATTCTCTTCGTATAAGAACTTACCGCATCACATATCCTAATTTTTTACATTAGGGTCGGAAATGCAATTCCCGTTTTCTGTTCTATTGTGCACTTTTTCATAGACACGAGTGTGTGGCACTTAACTAGTATTAAGACTCCTGTTGCATACTAATTAGTGACTCCGGACAAGAGAGATAATGGAAGGCCTTAAACTAGCATTTAATATTCCATGTGAAAGGTTCATTCAACTTTATTACAAGTTTTAGAAAAGAGAATGTTAGGTTTGCTTCTGCTTCCCGCATATTTAATAACTTATTTTGCAAAATATGTTGGAAAAAGATTATACAAAATACAGATAATAAAAGATGCAATTTATCGACACAGTACTTCCGCAAAGATTTTCTGTTCTTCCTCATTTTCGTGTACTTTATCTAAGAATATAAAGTTAAAAATATCATTACACATGTCTACGTGTCAAAAGCAATATTATTTTATAGAAAACTATCGGATTACTCGCAGTTTCGGGTTTATTGTCCGCACAGTATCGTAATTTTTTCTATCAATTCTTTTTATATCAAATTTTTACTCTGTTTTTTTTGTTGAAATTCATATTAATAAATTGAATTTGTATATAAAGTTCAATCAAGCATATACACCCTTTGCCGTCGATAATCAACGATAAAATAGAAACAAGTGGTGATATCCTTCAATTTTATCTGTATTTTTGACTATAAATACAAACATGGAAGATTTTGCCATTTTTCGTTCCATTGCTATTCGAGATATGTCGTCTCTTGAAACAGTGACATTTTATATAAATTGCACAAATATTATTGATATGTGATAAAATAAAAATTTATTGAATCCTGTTGAGTAATAAAAAGTAATAATAGTCGCACGCGAGATTATTTTATTCCATGCTGGAGCTCAAAAGTGGATGTTTCCATTAAAATCCGATTTAGACCTATTCATAGAAACAAAGATTTTATTTCATGGAATTAATATACATGTCGTATTATTTATAGCGAAACTCAATGTAAGTTATTACGAACGGGGGTGTTTTTACATAGAATTTATATGGCTGTAAGGATCATAATTTTCAGAATGGGATTAACAGACGCTAAAATTTCTAACGTCATTTGCAGATCCTGCGGGAGATTAAGATGCATAATTCGGAGATTAGGGTAGGCAGTGTTTAAGACAGTCACATATATTTCAGTTTAATTTCGCGGTACCAAAATAATTATCGTTATATCTGCTCTCCTGCGGAAGTTATGACTTTACCGAAGTATTACATATCATTGCCATTCATCGCAACCGTAAATAAACTTCATTTCTCGAAATAAGAAAGTTAGTATTGACATGAAATATACGAGGAGGAGCAACGTATTACTGTATTAATATGCTATATTTGAAGTACTTTGCATATATTTCCATATTGATTCGAAAATTATCTACGAAGTATCTTTCAAAAAATATTATTTAATAAAGAAAATTAAAAACTTTTATATTATTTTATTAAAATTATTAATACTATACAATATTAATTTATAAATAATAAATTACTGGAATTACTGGAAAACATCTAATTTTTAAGTATAAAATTAAAATTCTTTTAATACAAGTTTCATATTTATTTAACCGTTATCCATTGTACTTGTATCTACATATAATATCAATATAAAATTTTTATAAAATTATTCAA